GTATAGATATTAGGATCCAGTAGATGGCAGTAGTGCAACAATAATGGATGTAAGCTGCCGCTAAAATCTAAAGACGAAGAAGCAGAAGAAGACGCCCATTTTCATTTAGCACATGCTAGTAGCAACACGAAGGATCAGCACTTTTACTGTTACAGTTACCGTTCATAAACTACCGTAACTTTTTCTTTTTCAACCGTAATAAATGTGATATTCAATTGACCTGTTATGACTCAAATGTTGGCTGTCCGCCCCCCTCTGCTGCATTGCTGTGGAAAACCTGGAGCGGGAGAGATATCTGAGGCTTATATGTGTATGTTTACTGGTTTAAAAAAAAAAAAAAAAAAACTTTGGGGTTGGGGTTTATAGGTCTGCGGCTCATAGTTAGGAAAATACGGACAATAATCCTTCCTGGATTTTTTCTGTGAAGAACCCAGAGAGGGTTATTTGGTTATTATTTATTTCATTAATAGTGTTATTATTTATTTCCTGACTTTTGTTCTGCGAAGAACCCAGAGAGGGTTATTTGATTGTGCTTTCTGGAATATAATACATTTTTACATTTAGGGACTCCTGCAATCGTCACACCTTTTCTGTTACAAACTGACTCCGGCCCCCCACCAGAGAAGGGAAAAGTTATGTGGCCCTCACAGGAAAACGTTTGGGGACCCCTGCTCTAAAAGGTCATTCCTGTCCAACAAAAATACCCTTCATTTAAGAAGATCCCCCTATGCCTTTTTAAAAACTTGTTTTCAACCCTGCTATATGCAGCATTCTTTACATCACACTTTGATGACAGGTTGAAAACTTCAATCCCCATCCCCTCTCTTCCCCCTACGTCACCCGTCCCTCTGCTGTTGTGGCACATGTCATTTTGATGGGTGATTTGACAGGTCTCCCTTCCAGATCAGACTTCCTGTCATTTTAAAGGGAAGTTTGACAGGTTGACCTTGTGGTGGAAAATTTTAAGGTTACTATGATTATTAACTGAATCAATGCATAACAGTATTATGATTTTTGTGTGATAAACGTTCTCATGAGAAAGTCTTCTGGAGCTATTTCTCTGGCCTTGGAATTACAATGAAGTTATTAAATTGTTCCTTTAGGGTGGAAGATAAAAGCGGGTTTATTTGAGGGAAATAATCAATGACACAAACTTATGTTTGAAGTATGTGGCCAGAGGTTAATGTAAATATGGTCATACTACAGTAAATACCAGACCACTTCACTTCACTTCAGGTTCTGACGGCGTTGACTCCAACAGTCCTTACAAAGAATGATAATAAATGTAAGCCCTACCTAAAAGTATGTAAAATGACCGATGAAGACAGACGTCTGATTCAAAAAGAGAAGCACATACATCAGGTAAAATGTGTTTAAAGCAATGTTTCACTTTTTATGATTTTGATATTGATGTAGAAATATTAAATATGTTCTTTGATAATGTATGCTTTCATACTATGTTCTTTGACAATACAATGCATAACATAACCTGATCACGCTCTGAGCTCACGCTGAACAATGCCTGAGGCTCGTGGTCATTGTGAAACGAACGGCGGCCGCACTATTACTGGAGGACCTGCCTGGGAGAGAGGAAGTGGCCATTCTTCGCTCTCACCCAAGGATGTTTGTTAAAGAGTATAAAAATGGGGTAGTCCCTCATCTTGGCAGAGTCTGCTGTGGGTTGCGTATGAACGCCCAGCCACGTGAATGCTGCTCTCTGCCTGGACTGACGGCTCTCCAGTCTTTTGTGTCACGGTAAGGGCGATATACTAAAGGAACATATATAGCATCACGTATCAATGTATGAATGATTGCTTTGCTTTGCTGAAATCTGTGGCGGAATAAGACACATTTATTCTAGCAGATCAGCGTGTTGCCTCATTTTTGTTGCCGATCACCTCCGATCCTGTTCATAATTTCACGGAACAGATATCAAAGGTAATCCTTTAGATTCTCTAATAAATCCAATCAAACATGATCACAAACTATATTCATTGGTTTCATTTTTAAAATTTTGACTTACTATAAATTAAAGTTCATTCTCATTTAAGTTGTCTTATCATGCAACCAAGTTTTTTCTGTTTTCTTATCATCTTGCGTTGCAGGCTCGTACAAGTTGTGGAGTAATCTTTTATATTACTAAAAATATAGGTTTCTTGGACTTTCTTGGAATGTGATTATTGTAGCAAATAATTGTTGCTAAAGAGATTTGTACTGCGAGCAGAATATACTGAAAGTAGCAACTCACCATTTATTACCGGTGCATAAACTACAATTCCCATCAAGTTTGGATCTGACACAGTCTTGTCCAGAATAAGCCCTCCAATACTGAAAGACAAATCACAAGTTGGTGAATGTTCAATTGATGAAACACAAATACAAACACTAAAATATTTTTTGCTAACAAAATAAGGAGAAAATTAATAAATATTTATATGCATCATGCTCTGGAGCAGAGATAGTTTTGTTTTTTTATGTTACAATTTTTCCAACAACTAACTAATAATTGAGGAAAATATCAAGAATTTTAAACATATGTTGAACCAAGTCCAAACGCAGAGATGAATACCTGCTGATGACCATGGCTGTAATGATTGGTTCCCAGCCTGAACGGAGGAGGATGTGACTGGCTGGATGTTTGGAGGAGATCACCATCCAGACGGGAATCAGACACAAATACAGAAGATCCACCAGGTACAACACATACGGATAAAACTCTATCAAAAAATAGGAATTACAATTATTTTTAATTACCAATTCCACTGTGAAAGATGCTAAAATAGGTTGAAAGGTGCCATTAACTGTCAAAAAGTTCATTGTGTGAGTAATGTGTATAACTCTTTCCACTGCTTTAGCGTTCAAACCTTCAAACCAGTTTTCTTACCCATAAAGGAGTAGAACCACTGACTAAAGCACGCCAACAAGGAAAGCGTGATAAGATCGCCAAAACTGGCTGCTAAGGGCGTGGCCACATTATCAGGATTGATCCCCATCCGCTTGGAGCCAAAGATCACTCCCACAACAACGATGCCTAAAGAAGATCCCAGACAAGAAGAAATTAGAATAAAATAGCAAAAAGTAAAACTTGGATGTTGCTGTTATATGTAAGAGAGACTATATATACCACCTTCTGTCAAATTTTAATCGGATGATTGATTGATGGCCGTGACTAATTGATATTAACTGACTGAATTGTCGGTTGATAGCCAGCATATATTTGAATTTGTGCAACAAACATTGAAAGAAAAGAAAAAAAATATATAAAACTTGAATGACCATTCAGTTTGATAAATATCTACATAGAGTATCATTCAATAAATCGATAGAAATCCAAGTGCTCACATCAAAACATCAAATCTAAATAAATAATACAAATTGTATGAAATAAGCAGATTTATGGTTCACATTGATCATTTATACGTTTTAGTAATGGAACCTTCAACAACTACAGGTGAACTATATTTTGTTAGTGAACACATTTAAGCATGCAAGATATTGGATGGAGGGAAAGAATCATTAGGGCCAAGAAACATACAGCATATAAGTCAGAGACAAAAGCTGTAGATAATTTTAAAGGTAACAAAACAATTTACCATGTTGGAGCAACTCTTGGAGCCTGGTTGTGCACCGTAAAAACTTTCAACTTTGGGGAAAACGGGGGAAAAAAAAAATTGAGCAGTAACCTCACCTA